ATGTATTACAAGTTTGACAGCCCTGGACAAATTTCAGTCGTGATAAATTAAAAACTAATAGCAACGTGCAAATAGGTACTCTGCATTATTAAAAGCATTAAAAAGTTCAAATCCATAAGTGAAAACTTCTTTTCACAAATAATCACACTAGTTGTCATGTGGTCAGTTATAAATTTGTCATCCATCCCACAATGTTTCACATGTGTACAAAACTAGTTTCACATAAGTGCTAAGCAATACTCAGTGCCTATGGCTGTACTAGCAACAGCATGGGCCGATAAAAGTGAGCCTGACTGGGTTGATTTTAAGGACACATTCCATATTATATGTGTTCCAGGGGCTTTCTACTTTGGACTAGCTCTCAGATTTAATCTCAAAGACCGAAGACTTATTAGTGGCTGGAGTGCGTTAGGCACATTTCTGCAGCGCATCTTTCAGATTATTTTGTCCAAAGGGAATCCAGTCCAGGTCACTCCCCAGGATCTCTCCACAATGAAAATCTAAGCGGGGGTGAACAGGACATTCACTTCAAAACTGCATTGCTGATCCAAATAAAAACACTAGCACAACAAACACACCCATTGCTGGATGCTACTTACTAAGAAAGAAGAAGTGTTTAAAACAAAGAGAAATCTCACTTCTGAGGGCCTGGAATGGAATTTGAGAAGAATTATTCTGATATAAAACTAGCCTATGAGATGGAACAAAAGTATTTCAAATTTGATGCAAGACCTTTACAGTCAACTGTATGAAATACAAGCCTATCACACCCATGTGGACATGAATCACTGTACTGGAACAGCACGCACATGAAACTGAAAGCAGAAGCATATTTTTATGACAAACTAGAGTTAGACACTTATGAAAGTTTTTGGTATTTTAGTCAGTAACGTTCAATAAATGCCTCAGTACTTACAAACAGCAACAAAACAAATAAACACAACTCTTGTCAGACTGCAAGTGGGAACACAAATATAGAGGAAGTATTTGGTAAGTTTCAGCAATCTGAATGCACTGGTTAACCGTTCAAATAAAAACCCATTACTCATAACACTGAGGCACTGCTGGTAAAGTGCAATAATTATGGCGATAGCAATAGCAATCGTTGTTGCCTCAAGAATGTCCAAACATTCCCTGCAGTAAGTTTTCAGTCACCACACCTCATCTAGCCATCATGTCCCTTTAGTGCTCCTCGGCATGAAAACAGTTAAGCACAGAAAACATAAAGAGGTTGGAATCACATTCTTAAAAGGGAACATGTGCTTTCTGTACTCTTCTAAATGGAAGTATTAGTTGCTGAATATGGTTTCTTCAGACACTAGATCAGAACTGCATCTCCATCCAGCAACAGTGACGTGATTTGCACCACAGAGAACGGTCACTTACAGAACTTGACCCTTAATATTTCTACTAGACTTCTCCATCCTCCTTCCCCACCCCATCAAAAGAAAATAAATTCTAGTGGATTTTCGTCATCTGAAGAGCTATTAGAAAGTTCTTAAAGTTGAAGTGCAATTAATCAGTCTCAATTTCTTAATAGGTTTCTTATTATCATTATTTTATCTATTTTCTTTCTAAATTGAGAAGCTAAATATTATTCACTTGTTAGTCTAGGTTACATTTAGTTACCAACAAGCAAAGGTAAAAGCATTCCAAATACTTCATAGATGACAGTCCTGCATCTTCTAAATATAGTTCTATGTTCAGTGAATTTCTCTCTCGTATTCCATAGTTTATTCAAATGCAGAGGATTTAATGAAAAAAAAAGTCTACCCATAGCCCAGGCAATAATCACAACATGACCTCTAATGTATGAAACATTTTCATTAAAGCAGAGAGGCTAATGGTCACTAATTGTCACATTCCTTGCTTAGGGACGTTATTTTGGTACCTACCAGTGGAGAAAACGCTTGATCATAACGAAATTGAAGTAGTCTGAGCATAGAAGTGACACTACTCACTGACTGCATTACACAGCACGCAGATAGAAGTAGTCATAATTTGATTCCCAGGCCTGTAGAACTACAGGAGAAGAGAGAGAGCATGACCAGGATCTTGAACAAGGGTACATGAGTAGAGCTACACTTTTGGAAGGCTGTGGCAAAAAAATGACTAGATGTTTGCAGAAATTAGGTTAAACCTTTCATCCTACAGTCTGTACCTCAGAGCAGCAGACTCCATGGGCACACATGATGGTTTAAAGATTGAAACTGAGTATTGACATTGCCGCAAAAGAAGATGCTGTGATTTCATTTGCTCTTTCTCATAGCGCACTAATTGTGGAGGGGCAAAGCCCAATAATCTCACAAATATTTATGCATTAATTCAAAAATGAACTAACAAGGAAGAACAGTGACGGGGCAGTTGTCGAGAGAGCATGTTGGTTAAAGTAGCACACATAAATTCTTTTAAGTTGCGAAAGCCAGAGCATGCCACATCTGTAGGCCAAACTATGTCTCAACCTACAGTTTTCACCATCTCCACAACTGATGTATATCCCTGCAATCTGCCTAAGCTGTATTACTTTTGCCTGTTTTCTAATTGGGTTGTGGGATAGCTATTTGTTGAATATTTAAAATTCAATTGAAGTTTTTTTTCCTTTCATGGAAAAATACAATTTAGCTTCAGCATCTGAATGGATATGATAGCGAGGAAAAGCAGCACTGAAGATCTGGATTTTTTGGTGATACCTCACAGAACTACAGAAGAGAACAGAAGTTTGTTCTCAGGATGTAAGATATCCATACCAGTTAAATACAGAAAGCATATCAAAGTATGCTGTTACCAATCAAAATTTTTTTCTCACTACAATACACTCATACAATATAAGCCATTTTTTTCTGATTAAGGAATCTTTATTCGTAGGCAGACACAGATTTCAAGTATCTCACTATAAATATATGGAGTCATCACATAAATATGATGAGGTGATTCTAAGTAAAGTAGTAATTATTGCAAATTATTGCAGATTTTTCCACATACCTCTAGCCTACTTCCAGAAATAATATGAATTTCAACCACATCTTTTAACATTATCGCCAAATTCTACAGATGTCAGTGTACTTTTGGACGTCCTGGAGGTAGTATAGAAAGAGTAGGGGATGCTGAAAGTCCTAGGCATATTATCTTAGATCTTCAGTCCTGGAATATCTGGACTACCTTACCCTGTAACTACACACTGCAAAGCTGACAACAGAAATTCTGGAATATAGACTGGAAATGTTATGAACTCACCTCTTCCTCTTTCCACCCCCATTTCCCCAACAGACTTAGGCTAGAAAAAAGCAACAAATATCCACAGTTATCCTTAAATCTAAGTTCATTAGAATAAAAATTATGTATTTGAATGATGAATTCTGTAAAAAACCTGCTTTGTCTTTCTGTGAACTATACATATGCTTTGAAGTTGAGCATGTGCCTTGAAAGGTGTGGCCAGTGAGCAAACCTAAATCAATATATTACACTGGTTTGTACCTTACTGATCCCTAAGAATGTAACTTTATAATCCCCCGCCTCAACAGCTGTAAGCTGCAATTGTGTCATTCAGATTTTCTGCACATAACTTGTCCACGGACAGATCAGTATCTCTTTCCTTACTTTTCATAAAAAGAAGAGCATGTTGAAAACCTTATCAAATGCAATCACATAAGACTTTATTTCATAGTGGAAACTCAATTTACAGTGGCACTGTAAGAATGAGGCCACTTTCCAGGCAAGTTAGTTCACTGAATTACAACTTCAGTAACTTTGATGTATGGCCTACAAGCAGCATTCAACCAGTGTGGGCACCTCATCACATGACAGTTAAAAACAACACATTGAAAATAAACATTGTATCACAAATACTGACGGTTTTGGCAAAAACATGATTCTAACGGTTCTGCACGCTTGATCTTCTGTATCTAATCTTTTTTTTATTATTATTTTTTACTGTTTAGAAGTTATGAGTCATTCTCTAGGACAAAAGAAAACAACCCAACAATAAGATAAGTATAAGCCAATTTAATGTGTCTCCCTGCCAGAACATTTTTTACTTAGCTACGGATACTTTCTGGTTTCTCAAATGAGTCTTCAACTTTGATTTCACATAGATATTGATTTTTCCAAGTTACAAAAACAAGACTGCATCTTTAATCCACAGTTGCACAACTGTGTTACCAGGCTCTGCTCCAGTTAACCAGTTATGAATAAAGTTACAGTTTTTGAAGAAGCTTATTTGTCTGTTCTACAGAGACTTTTTATACTCCTGTCAGAATTCTGGAAAACAAAGCTGTAGCTGTAAAGGAAAAAAAAAATAGTTAAGTCTCATCTTCACAGACCAGGACTCAGGAGTCAAATGTACTTCCCTGTTTTGAGGATAACCTGCAGTACACCTTGGCAAACTTCCCTACATGAAGGTGATGAGAATATCAATGTATTTTATGCAAATACAAATAAGCCATAACTTAAAGAATTTCTCTTTAAGATTAATGTACTTCTAAACAGCCTTTTGAACAGCTGATGCAAAACAAGTTAATACTCTCAGAAACTGATTTAAGCTGCAGCATCACAGAGTAATCTAAGGAAAAAACAGCAAACCGGCCTCCAACCTGAACAACAGTCCTGGATCAACCTTTTTCAATTTACTGCAAGACCTGGAAGGAGAACTTTACAGGAAAGAGCTTCTAAACACAACCACAAAGCTGAGAAACAAGGAAGCGATTTTTAAGGAGCAGCATCTGCCTCTGAATGACTGCAGTTTTTCAAGTACTGAGAACTGGTCCTGACATCAGTGCATCTTTTTTTTTAATTTTTTTTTATGTGTTATTATTTTCTACATATGAATTTCTGGTTAAAACAATAAAGAGGTGGAATTGAAAGAGTTACAGAGTTACACCAAAGAGGTCGGGGGGGGAAGGGGGACGGAGGAGAAGAGGGGTTAAAACCCACAAAACAAATCAGTAAATGTATCATTCAAATAAGAGGCGCAACAATTACAGCGAAACTTTAAAGCAACTTACCTCGAGGGGGAGAGATCAAAGAGCTGCTTTCAGTCGGAGCCTGCTCTGGCCCTTCAGGCCCCGGAGGAAGAGGTTCTCTCACTTGGGACATCTGCCAGCTCTCGCACCGAGTAATCAAGAGCCTGCAACCCCCCTCCGACAAAACTAACACGCCACCCTGGAGGAACAAGCAAACGAAAGGGCTCGTTAATGTGTTTTCTGCAGAAAACTCACGGCTCGGGGTGGGGGGTGGGCGAGGGATTGAAGAGGGACAAGCAACGAAGCGGCGGCAACTTCGCGGAGCG